CAAGGGCGAAGAAAGTCTTTTAACGGAAGGACAAAAATATAGAAACCTGGGGGACAAGTGAGGGATCCTTGGACAGAGGTGGGAACATGTGAAACCTAGTTATTGTTCAAATGAACTTGGTATCTTCTAAAAGTTAACGTCTCGTGAGCGTGACAGTTCTGCCTTTTCTGTTTATGACAGCTTTTCCCCCGCTGGGCTGAGATGGAGGGAAACACAAAGAGGACATTTCACACTTAAAAACATTTAAATGAGCCGGAGAGCGTGGTTGAAGCCCCCAGCAGCTGCACCTCTGTGTGGCTGTGGTTCACTATGCAGACCAGTCTAATTGCAGCACTGATGTTTAATGTACCAACATTTTCCCGGGACGGTTCCAAACACAGATATAAGCCAGGACTAAATTACACACTGACTAATCCATTCAATATAAATACAATTCCACATTTGCTAATTATGTGAAATTAGATTCTTGATTAAGAAAAATATTCCCTGGGAGTCAAGACTTCATCAGTAGAAACCACACGCACACACACTTCGGAGCATTTGCCAGTCAAGTTTTATTTCATCTTGGAGGGGAAAAAAAAGAGCGAGAGAAAAGAAAAGTTGGGTCTTTGTAAACATCTATTTCATTTTTCGTGTCATGTCATTTTTCGGCGTTTAAAAATACTTAAACTCTGTACTACCACATTTTCCAACATCAACACTGTATTTCAGAATGAGTTGAATTCATGCATCGACACACTCATGGATGGAATGATATGAAGAGATGCACGTGTCCCCACACACACACGCACACACACACAAACACACGAGCGCACACACACACACACACTGTAAAAAGGTTAAGAGCACACAGTTTATTTTTTTTTCTCTGCTAATTTCCTGTTCTACTCTCTGAGGGATCTTTTTTTACAAAACAAGTCACCATAACAACACAAAACAATGAAATACACCAAAAAGTACAATAATAATATAACAAGAATAAAATAAATGGAAAAAGTATAATACCAATTATTTATATCAAAAGCACTTTGTGACCTCATAAATAGGACTGCGTGATAAGTTAAAAATAAAATAACAGCTTTAAGTGATAAAATATATAGATTTGTTAGGTAGACAGCAACAGAGTGGCTCTATAGAGAGAGAGGGAGAAAGGAAAGAAAAGAAACATGCTGATCATTATAAAGAGGCTGGTTTACACACACACACACACACACACACACAAACACACACACACACACACACACACACACACACACACACA